ATCCTCATTGGTGCTTCTTGACCTGCATACAAGTTTCTCAGGAGACAGGTCAGGTGGTCTGGTATTCCCACCTCTTTAAGAATTTTGCACAGTTTTTGTGATCCATGCAGTCAAAGGCTTTAGCATAGTCAATGAAGCAGTAGTAGATGTTTTTCTGGAATTCCCTTGCTTTCAGAACAGAATATAAGCTATTAGAAATCCAAATGTAGTAGAACTTTTCAGTTAAGAATTGTAGGATTAGAAGTTGGAGAGTGGGAAACCCAACAATGTATTTGTTGAAGAAAGAATGCTGCTACTGCTTAGTTGCTTCAATCATGTCCAACTCTGTGCAACCCCATGGACTGTAGCCAGCCAGGCTCCTCTGTCCATGGGATTCTCCAGGCAAGATTACTGGAGTGGGTTGCCAGCCCCCCCCCCCACCTCCAGAGGATCTTCCCAACCCAGGGATTGAACCCAGAGCTCCTGCATTGCAAGCAAATTCTTTACCACTGAGCCACCAGGGAAGCCCTGAAGAGAGAATATGCATTATAATAAAATAAAATAACAGCAACAGGCAAATGAGAGAAACATCAGGAATTGGCCTTGGAAAGTATATCTTTGGAAGGAAGTAAAGACAGCTTTAGGAAGAGAAAAGTGATAAAAAATGAAACCTGACCTAACAAAAGAGAGTGATAGAACATATCCAGAGAATAAAGCTCCTTGTGACCATGCTTTGCTTCCTATTTCTTGGTATGAAATAGTTTTAGCCATAGCTTTGGCTTCAACTGTCTTAATTGAAGTTCTTTCTCCAATGAATGATTACATTTGAAAACCTTGACTGGCATAAACCCATAACATATTATAGCCCCAACAACTGTGTATTGTTAATTTCTCTCTTTACTTACAGGCTTGGTCTCTCTTTCCTATTCCTGCCCAACTAGCTTAGAAAACAAGATTGTTCTATACAGGCAATATCACCACTTGATTCTCCTCTTTCTTCATTCTCAGTGTAACAATTCATTTTCTTTATCACTTGTAGCTTTGTTAATTCAAAAGAAATAAAGACAAGAGCTTCCAGAAAAAGGTATGTTCATTTTTCCATGAGAAATTTACAAGTTTTCTCGTTAACATATACTTTGAATGTTAAATAAAATGTTCAAAATGATCAGCTTCTGTCTTTAATGTTGCATTTTTGCAGTGGAAGTGTATTCTATTATACTATTATTGCATGCATTTCTGTCACTCACAGTCATTGCCACCTTCAAAATAAACTTGCTTTCTTTGCTTATGAGATGATTATGTATCAGGAGTGTCAAGAAAGGCAAGTAAGATGGGACAGGGAGCTGGTACCTGGCAAAAGCTCTCCCAATGAAAATGGGAGAATTTTGAAGGAACTTACCTGGCTGTAGAGGGGAGCTTTAGTATTGATATCCTGATGGATCAGAACAGAAGTCTCAGCAGGGATTTAAAAATTTTTCATTGGGAAAAAAAAAATTTCATTGGGAAAGCCAAGATTATTTAGAAGAAAAGGAGATAGAGAACTACAACAATATAAAGTACTTTCTTAGAACTCTGAACAGTCTTATTTTAGATTTTCCCTCTCTTCCTTTCTCTCTTCCCATCCCTTCTTTATTTTTTCCAAATTTTAGACAACAAATATTTATTGAGAATCTGTACTAGGCAATGGGGAATCATGTAACTGAAAAATCCAGATATACGGGATCGTATGCACATCCAAATATCACTTGCCAATATGTTCGTGAGAGTAAGGAATTCTATTTGCAGTGTAATTTCCCACTTACATTTTCCATATTTTAAGAAAAAAGAGTTGGGAGAACCCTAGAAAAAAGCAAAAATAACAATGAAAGGGAATTAAATAAGAACTTGATTTGCAATATTGTGGACAAATACAATTTGGAGGAAAGGTTAAAGAAATATTTTGGGCTTGAGCCAAAACTTATGGTTATTATAATTTTTCACCTTCATTTATAGAGAAAAAAGAAGGGCAAGTAGTCAACAAATTGCATTTAGAAATGTTAGGTAGGAAGTTAGGCATGAGCAACGAGGAGTAGCCTAGCCAAAAAGGATGTAAGCTGATGTCTAAACTCCATCCAAGACATGCCCATAAACCAAGTCAACAGATACCGAAAAGATGTTGAAAATTTTCTGACAGAAAAAAATCAATTAAGACATATATGCTCAAGGCTAACAAGGGGTTGTAAAAGGATTGGAACCCAGCAGTTCTCAGCATGGGATAGATTCTTCAACTCGTAGCTACTGTCCATTCATCTGTTCTCCTATATAGCTTCTTTTTTTCACAGTGCTTTTCCACATCTCTCTCTCTCATCTTCAAAATAGTTTGGTAGTCTACAAGTTTAAAAACTGGCATTCTGGCATAAAAATTACTATCTTTCATGTTTTAATAATTAGAAACTAATATGATTCTTTCCCTAGACTTGTAATTTTAAAAAATTTTGGAATTTCTCCCAAAACATTCCTGGGATACATACAGCCTACATGGCATAACTTAATAGCCTAATTAGAAATTCTGCTAACAAAGAAATTATGCCCCAAACCACCACTATATATTTGAAGAATTACAATGAAGATTCTTTACCGACTGAGCTATGAGGGAAGTACATGAAGAATTACATAGGATGCCAAAAATGAAGGACAGTTTCACAGTAGCAGGCATAGCTGCAACAAGATAAAAATAACACTTCAACTCAACAGCTTGTTCCCTTAGCTAAGTGAAGGCAGAGCAGACCCCAGGGAATGATGGTCAATGACAAAACAAATAGTGTTTGATAACAACCCTGCACTGGCACTTTACACATGCAAACTTGGTGAATTTTATGACTTTCAAGTAGGATTAATGATTTCTATTTCTTTATTAAATAAAAATTATTTTCATTTTATGGATAAGAAAACAAACTTAGAAAAGCAACTTGGCCAAACCCATAAGGTTAAAGTGGAAGAACCAGAACTCCAATTTAGGACTATCTGAATCCTCTATTTTTTCACTATCCTGGTTCACAGGTTTGAAACTATTAGGGATCTAATCTCTACTTCTCAGGAATTTATAATGCTTTCCACTCTCAATGTGGCTTTAATTCATAGGAACCTCACTTTTGATACTAGAGGCAAACTGATTCAGCTTCTATCTTGTTAGTTCTGAAATTCAGGGTCAACTCCTGGTTTATATTTCTAATATTTCCCTTCTAAACCTGATTATTTTATAAAAAGTTTGCTTGCTTTTTAAAAATCACTGTTTAACCTAACATTATTAATGAAGTTTAACCCAAATTTTATGTGAAAATTCCTAGGACTATATGATCTCATTTTCTTTTGTAGATTTATTACTACTTAGCTAATTTCATTATGAGCAGCTTTAATTTTTTGTAACATTTCTTTTTGCTTGTGGGCAGGCCTCCAGGCTGTGTGGGATCTCAGATCCCCCACCAGGAACTGAACCCAGGCCTGGGCAGTGAAAGTCAGAATCCTAACCAGTAGGCCACCACGGAACTCCAGATTTTTAACTATATTTTTAAAGACAGTGAAAGTGAAAGTCCTCAGTCGTGTCCCACTCTTTGAGACCCCATGCACTATACAGTCCATCGAATTCTCCAGGCCAGAATACTGGAGTGGGTAGCCTTTCCCTTCTCCAGGGGATCTTCCCAACCCAGGTCTCCCAAATCGCAAGTGGATCTCCGACATCGCAGGTGGATTCTTTACCAGCTGGGCCACAAGTGAAGCCCAAGAATACTGGAGTGGGTAGCCTATCTCGTCTCCAGGGAATCTTCCGGACCCAGGAATCGAACCAGGGACTCCTGCATTGCAGGCGGATTCTTTACCAACTGAGCTATGAAGGAAGCCTCATTTGTTTACAGTGGTTTAGCAATCTGTTTAGTACATTCATAATTCATACTGCGAGCTTTCAGAAATGTTAAAATCAAATCGTTCTACCAAATTTTATTCGGCATCGATGTCTTAAGTTTAATATAAGGAACTTTTGTATTTATTGAAATGAAATAATCGTCAAGCATAATAAAGTTTATGCAACAAACGCTAATTTGTTTAAAGTGGATATGCTTACTCTATAATTCACAGCCGTGGTTATTATGGATCATTTTCATACTCCAAAACTTCATTTTAAGGCAGCTGTCTAGTATTTAATTTACAGAGGCGGTTATCCTAGGCAGTTTTCAATATTCTGAGGCATACAAACTTAAACAACAACAACAAAAAACTCCTGAAATTTAGTGTAAGGATTAGATCGGATGATGTCTTTTTCCTGAGTGACATCCCTAAATGGGTACATTCATTTTCGATAAAAAGAAAACAAGTCCTTTGTGGTCTGGGAGAAAGAAAAGGCGGGGGGGGGGGGGATATTTTTCAATTCACAGAACTAGGGGTGCGAGATGTGCGGAGGACTCTCAGAGACACAAGCCTGAATTGCAAGATTACATTTATTCTATGAGACACACCAGCAGGGAGTAGAAACCTTTTCTATGTACGTTGCTTTTTTGAAACATTCATCAGCAAAACCTCTTTCACAATCCTGGGAGAGACCTGTTCGTCCATTCCCAAAAGTTTGGACAAGGTTTGAGAAACCGCGGGCAACTTCTAAAGAAATCGTTAAAGAGCACGGAGGAGCGCGTCCGTTCTCCCACCGTCGTCTCCAGTTTTCCTTTCTGATAGGAGGTGCAAATGTCCCGCCGTCACGCCTCAGAGAGAAGAGCTATTTCAGGAAGGGAGAACAGAGTCTGCACTGACGCACCGCAAAGGTGTGCGTTGCAGAAGAGAGGCGGGCAGCTTGGCCGCGGAGACCTGCTCTCTCCCCGGGTCTGCTAACGGAGAACCGAGGAAAGAGCCTAAGTTAAGACCCGGGAGCGGACAACCAACCCGCAGCTCCGCCTTGGACAGCGCAGCCCCAGTCTCGGCCGGAAGGGGCGTGGCCTCGGTAGCCTCCAGCCTCGACGTTGGCGGGGGCGTGTCTTCCCCACGTCTTGCGTCTGGTGGTCTCATCAGCCCCCGCCAGGTTGGGTTGTATGGCGGCCCCTCTGCGGGGCTGAATTGTGCGGCTGGCCGCGCAGCTTCTGTTAAAGGAGGATTGGAGGAGTTGGGAGTTTATCCCATTCACAGGAGGAGACGGCGCTGGCCTTTCTACCCCGCCGGCGAAACATGAGCTGCGGCCAGCAGCAGCAGCCGCTGCCGCCGCCGCGGAAGATCACCAACGTGGGTCCCTGCAACTCTTCCCGCAGGAGAACGAGTCCCTCTTCACCTTCCTCGGCAAGAAATGTGTGGTCAGTGGCCGAGACCCGCATCCCCGCCCCCAGCCTTAGCCTCCGGGGCCAGGGAGGGAGCGCCGGGAGGTGGGAGTGGGGAAGGAGGCGGGAGTGGCGCGCGGAGGGTCGGACTGCCGGCCAGGCCTCTCTCCGACCCGGCTCCCTGGGTGCGGGCAGTGCGGGCCGGAGGCCGCCTCCCGGACCTGCCCGGGGAGCAGGGAACTGTCAGGTCCGCAGGCCTGTCCTGGAGCCCTGCTCGCTCGGACCCGGGTCCGTGCCTCTGCTGCTGGTTCAAATTTTACGCGGGGATCTTGCAGGAGCTGCTTGATCGTAGTAACTGGGCTCCTGGACTGGCCCTCGCTTCTCCTCCTACGACCCCGATGTAGGGGACACCTTCCTTCACCTGGGCTTCCCAGGCGGCGCCTTGGTAAAGAATCTGCCTGCCAGTCTGCCAATGCAGAAGACCTAGGAGGTAGGGAAGGGGTTGGATACCTGAGTGGTAAGAACCCACTCCAGTCTTCTTAGAGGAAGAGTCTCGTGGACAGAGGCGCCTGGCGGGCTGCAGTCCATGGAGTTGCTGGAATGGACTGAGCACGTGTAGTGTTGTGATCTTCACAATGCCAGAGGTTTCAGGAGTGGGTAGATGGGGCACTGAAACCCAAATATGAATGAATCGGACCCTAAGGTGGTTTTTTAATCTCCCTTTAAGATCTCCGGAGGGAATGGAGTCCAGTGCCTCGGTTCAGAACAGGGGGCAGGAAATGCTACTGCTCCCCACTGCAGAGAAACCAGGTTTATTTCTACAGCAGTCTCGCCCAAGCCTGGTTTCTTTCTTCTCTCCATTCTTTTTGTTGTTCTTCGTTTGCTTGCATTGGTGGGAGATGCTGCTCTCCCAGAACCCAGCTCAGGGGAACCGCGATCTCCAGCAGTTCTTGGCCTTTTGAGATCTGAGAATGGCTCTTAGGTCGGTGCTATGCGGTCTGTTCCAACTCCAGATGGCTGGTTGGAGCCAGCAGCTCTGCTGTGGGAAGAGGAATGTGTTGTTGATGAAAGCATTCATTACACTGGCTGCTGGCGCTTCTGGGGGTGGGGAGGTTGTGCTCTGTGGGCACAACCAGTAAGATGTCAGCCTGCATCTTACTGGGGTGGCCGAGTTGAGCTGTGGTTGAGACTATTGAAACGCTGTTCAGGTCCCTTTCTCCCCACTTAACTGGTTAACACCGCAGAGTCTGTGCCCCTGGCCCCGGGGAACCATCAAGGGAAATGTCAGCAGTGAGTGAACATGCTAAGTTGCTTCAGTCCTGTGCGACCCTATGGACTGTAGCCCACCAGGCTCCTCTGTCCATGGGATTCTCTGGGCAAGAATACCGGGTTGCCATGCCCTCCTCCAGGGGATCTACCTGAACCAGGGGTCAAATCTGTGTCTCTTAGGTCTCACACATTGACAGGCAGGTTCTTTACCACTAGTGCAAGGTGAAGCCCATGTGTTACATACCAGACACAGTAACTTTAGGCAGAAAGGATGTTACATTTATGCACAAGTATACTGTCTAATTGCTTTGTGTTTACCTGTAATGTTTACTGGTTTAGAAAAAAATGACAGGCACGGAAGAATACAAGAGAGAGAATGAATTTTTGTCATTTAAGTGCCTCAGTGTTGTGAAATCAAGACACCAAGTACAACTGTTCACAAATAGCCCACTAGAAGTTAAACTCTTTGCAACCCCATGGATAATCCATGGAATTTACCAAGCCAGAATTCTGGAGTGGATAACCATTCCCTTCTCCAGGGGATCTTCCCAACCCAGGAACTGAACCCAGGTGTCCCACATTACAGGCAGATTTTTTACCAGCTGAGCCACCGTAATTTCCTTTCTTTGTTTCTGCACTTTCTCTGTATAAGTCTCACCCCTGGCGCCTGACCTCAAAGTGCCCCTAACCACTTCTGGTTTGGTGCTACTGAATTCTATTTGTTTTTTTGCTCAGATAAACTCTTAAAATTGTTCATTTGCCTCATTTTACCTTTTAGAAACAAACACGCAAATTCACTTCCTTATTCCTAGGGAATTTCTGGAATTACATACAAGAAACCACAACCAGAAGTTATCACTGGTAGAGGGAAGAGGAACAAGGACTTTTGATTTTCCACTGTGTAATATTATATTATTCTACTGTGAGCAGTAATAACTTTAAAAGAATAAAAAAAGATTTTAAACCAAAACAATATAAAAGACTATACATGTTGACACGTGTATAAAAAATTATTGGAGCTTAAGAATGTACAGTAACACTCTGAATCATCTTGATTGCTTTTGCAACTCCATCAAAGTTTAGACATAAAGAGAAAAAGTCTGTAACAAATAGAACATGTTCTTTTTTCCTCACAGGAAATAGAATGCCTCAGACAGTTTACTTTTAAGATGTTAGTGACTTTGTACCACAACCTGCAAGTCTGCAGCCCCCTCTGGATTTGACACACACCAAACAGTGCCACCGCTGTGTGCCTTCGTGTTTGCTTCTTAAAAGAAATCCGAGGCCCAAGTAGAAGGAGGTGGCAGTGACATTTGTGCAGATGAGTCCAGGTAGGGCATTCGAGTACAAGCACTCTTCTATTTTATAGGAAATTGAAGGCTAACTGTGGCTACATCTGAAGTTCTTTTCAACCCTGTGCAAATTAAGTCCCCAGTGGAATAAGAAGCATTCTATTTCTTTTTCCTTGTCTCTTCTCTCCTTTTATTTTCTTTTCTCCCACCCACTCTCCCATGCCTCCTTTCTTCCCTCGCCATCAGACTGCAAGCAGAGGAGAAAATACTGAATTTTATTGATGGGTTTTGTTGATAGGTTGTCAATTTCCAAAGTTTAACCACTCCATATGAAATTTCAGAGTCATCAAAATGTCAGTATCTTGTGCAGGATGACTGTGTTGACACAATCCTAACAGTTTTGCTTGTGAAACAGATCATGTGAATCTTAGTCCTCTAAACTGGGGCAACTGATGGGCAAACTGCTGAGTCCTGAAATATCAGCCCTAGACCCAGGATTGAGATTGCACTGTTTGTCAGGTTCAAAGGAAATTGCCATTCACCAGGTATAGTCATTCAAAAAGGTCTTTCCAAAATGAGTTCCCCATGAGAGATGCTCCTTTGGGACCCAATTAGTATACAGAGCACACCTTAAATAGAGAAGAAGCACGTAGACAAAGATGTTGCTCAGCTTGAAAAATAATTTCATTGTCAAAATAGTGTAAATTAAGATAAAACTGATGATCATTATAAAAGTATGAAAAATATAATAAAGATGAGAAGTATTAGTAGAAAAAAATAAAATGGGCATATTGTTCATTTCAGCTACCAAGTAGGCTTATGAACTTATTACAGAGGAACAAAATACCAACAAAGGGAAGAGAATTTTTGCTTTCCCATTTGTTCTGTGAGTCTTCATTTATAAAGGTGACTGAGTGGCTGCACAGAGGACCACATGGGAAGCATCAGATTCTGGACAAAACCCAGAAGCAGGAGCAGGCGAGAACTTACACCAGGGTGGACAGTTGAGTACAGGCTCATTGAATAACTTCAGCTGGCTTTGGGTTGCACGGAGGAAAATATCCTATTTGACCCTCTTACGGTCCTTGGTTGGGTCTGAAAATTAAACTGACAAAGGCAGATTACCAGGAGAAAAGCATACAGGTTTATTTAATATAAGTTTTATAGGACATCAGAGCCTTCATTAAAAATATGAAGGCCCCAAGAAAGTTAAACCTGTGTATTTTTATTCTAGGCTGCATTAAGAAGGGCAGTGGGAGAGAAATACAGGTTAAGGAGTATGAGGTAACAGCAAGGGCTGTTGATTAGGTTCTTCTTGGCATCCCTTTGTCTTCAATAAAAAAGCTTCTGCTTTCCTCCAGGTCCACAGGGGACAACTTTCACATGAGGATTCTAGTGTCTGTTTTGGGGAAGAAGGGTGAGGTGGGGAGGTTCTTAAAGTGATCTTCCTGCTCCTACTGTTTTCTCAAAACTCCTTCAGCTTAAAATGTTCAGTATGCCAAAGTGACATATTTAGGGAAGTATGTTCTGAACCTCATCAGGGCTATTGAGGTGTTGCCTGGTACCTGGCCCTGGGATAATGAGGCAGAGGAGTATTGCCTCCTGGGGCTTCTCTGATAGACCGGTTGGTAAAGAGTCTGCCTACATTGCAGGAGACCCCGGTTCAATTTCTGGGTCAGGAAGAGTCCCTGGAGAAGGGAAAGGCTACCCACCTGAGTACTCTTGGGTTTCCCTTGTGGCTCAGCTGGTAAAGAATCTGCCTGCAATGAGGGAGACCTGGGTTTGATCCCTGGGTTGGAAAGATCCTCTGGAGAAGGGAAAGGCTTCCCACTCCAGTATTCTGGCCTGGAGAATTCCATGGACTGTATAGTGCATGGGGTCACGAAGAGTTGGACAGGACTGAGCAACTTTCACTTTCACTTTTCTGTGCAGGCTGCAGAGAGGAGGTAGAACTCTGGATTCTTTAGATTTTATATCAAATAGCATGTATTTTGCTGCCTCTCAGGATTGACTAGCTTTAGAAGAGGCAGTCCCTTCCCTGCAAGAAAGGTGTTTTAAGATGTTAGAACATCCAAGTATGCAGAAAATAAAAAATATAATTATTAATGTTTTTATTAAACAGGAATTTAGGAGTGACATCATTTTCAGCATGAGCCCAAAGAAAGAGGAGAGTGGTGAGGAGCATTTCCAAAGTTGAAAAACTATTTTTAAATGAAGTAAAAAATAATTTTAAATGAAATGTTTCAAAATAAATACCTTTCTAGCAAAGAAAAAATGCATTCATCACATGGTAGCTAACCAACTAAATTAGAAACATATCCAATTGGCTGTCAATCCATAGTAATTATATTCAGTAACCATTGCAACATTTTTTGATCTTCTTATTGAGCACCTGTTCTGTGCCAGGAATCGTGCTGTGTTATAGATCTCAGCCCGTGGTTGTGCCTCCACTAAGCTTATCTGGGAGTGGGGTGG